TATACTGTTGTATCTGTTCAGGTGGTGATTATAACATTCTGTTGCTAGTGGTGTAACCTAGAACTAGATGTAATTGTGGTGGTGTAAACTTGTAGGTGACTGTAATGTTCTGTTGCTAGTAGCGTTAACTAGCTTTAGGTAACAGTGATATTTTCATGGCTAATCCTGTAAATTAAGCCCAGATGGTTGAGTTAAAACTGAACCAATAGTCTCTGGTTTTTTACAAGTGAAGAAAAGTGGAACACTGGTTGTAGTATTTCTACTTGGACTGTAATCCCACAACCACGGACAAATCAGGAGTGGAAACTTTGAACCTTTACATAGTAAGTCACAACCACAAAATCACTATTACTTTAAACTATTTCTACAACCCTTAATGGCTTGACTTACCGTATTTAGTTGCGACCATCAAGTCCTTGGTAGTTTTTAACTCCTTGTTTTGCTGCTATATTCTAAACTTGTTTCTTCAAAACAAATATTTAAATAAAAAATGACAAAAAATTAAATATTTAACATTACATTCCCTGAAAAACTAAGTAATTATTAGCCTAAAGCAGAACAAAACTACACCTTGCACTACCCTTATGTTAGAAGCTACTACAGCAGAGAAATTGTTGTTTGAAGTTAAGCACAAAGCTACACAAAGGGCTATCTGTGCTCTGCCTACCACAGGTGTCTAAGCCTGCAGACATACCGCTTTGCCACTGGGGGCAGCAGAGAAATTGGCAATGTCAGCCGATACGTTGATTCAGGTCCAGATTTAACAAGGTCACTACAAGTAAAACACTAGCCTTGTAATCTTATAACTGTACTTGTTGTAAACTAACACAAAAGTAAAAGTTGATGTTTTTAAGCAGCCATCTATTTTATGATAAGCCTACATTGTTTTTTTTATTTGTAAGTAAATATATATTAATCTTATATTAGCCACTTTGATTTCTGCATCTGACCGAGGTCTTCTGTAAAATCGGGTTACTTGTTATGTAAATTCCCAATATTATTTCCTAGCATAATGCATATTTTTTTGAAAACTGGAAGTATTACAATATTGATTTAACACGTTATGCTTGCATGCTTATACACCTTGACTTCTTTTAACAAGTGTCTTCTAGAAATAACTTTTCCTAGTCTGAAGTGACATATGATTCAACCACAATATCCACCCCCCCCACCCCAAAAAAAGCTTTTTCAAAATAATACTGGTTCTTCATTTTTTAGCTTTCAAAATACTATTATTTTGCTTACACCTCTAGGGTATGTTTCACACATCAACTGTCTGTGGTACTGGAGTTAATCACTACACGCAAATATATGGTTTGTTGTGTACTTGTTTGTTTTACTAATCCAAACACCAGATGGCCTCACTAAATACTACTATTTTAATGAACAGATTCATTTTGTTTAATTGGGGGGCAGTATGACTCAGTTGCTTCACACTTTGGATGACTGCAAGTTTGAGGCCAGTGCATGCTATGATGTTGTGTCCTCAAGTAAGGCACTTTACCCCAGCTGTTAGCTGGATGTTAACCTGCTAAGGACTGCCATCCAGTCCATGGGGATCATGTTAACATTTTCATCCTCTTATGCCAATTAAGCTAGAGTTCAGCACCAAATCCTATGTGCCATCTCAGCATGCAAGGGATTTGACCTCGACCCATCTTGTTGAGGTCTAGTGTTTTATACAGTGTGTCTTGACTTAAAAGAAGACACCTCGTACAAAAGTTAAATAAATTAGAAAAATAACTATTACTGTTGAAAAGTAATCTAAACACAGCAACTTCAAATGAAACTCGCTTATGCCACACAAATTCAATTTTAGCCTGAGGTAAGAGGAACAGTTTTTAACATAGTTTATACCTGTTATCGCACACATATTGTGAAACACATTTTGAGAGCGATAGACTCTAATTTTTGACGGTCAGTTTTGACCAGACCCGTTGATAACTTGCTCTCTTGTATCTTAATCTGCAACACATAGCAACAACAACAATACTAAAGTTTGGATCTGCTTCACCATCTTTTACTTGCAAACCTAGCAATAACTTAACAACCTACTGATACTTCATCTTTAGGTGAACCAAACCTTTAAGTTATATTGGAGAAATTCCAAGCTGAACATAATAATAAAACTTTGGAATCTCCAAGGATAAACTGAACTTTGCTAAGAATTTTATTTCTCTCGTTTTATTTTTGCACGTTTCCATTAGTTCGATGGCAAACTTGTGAAATGGTGTGAAAGCCAAATTTCCATCACTATAAACTCTTGCACATCCTGTAGTTACATCAAGTTTGCTGTCAAATAAAAAGTCATCTGGGATGTTAACTCGTTCTGTGCCATGTGCATTACTAGCAGGTCACAGACAATTAGGTTTCAAAGCCAAATTTCCATCACAATAAACTCTTGCACATCCTGTAGTTACATCAAGTTTGCTGTCAAACAAAAAGTCATCTGGGATGTTAACTCGTTCTGTGCCATGTGCACCACTAGCAGGTCACAGACAATTAGGTTTCAAAGCCAAATTTCCCTTTTGGCATACAAGTTTGGGACACTGTGACTGCTCCTTGGCACCTCTTGAATATTTAATTTTATTTATACTTAATTTATTATGTGATAGCAAACGTGTTAGATTAACACGTCAGACTGCAGACAAGTGAAACATGCCCACTTTTACAGCCGCCACTATGAAACAAAGTAACTTAACTCCTGCTGTTAGATTAACACGTCAGACTGCAGACAAGTGAAACTGTCATACTTTTACAGCTGTCACTATGAAACCCCAATAACTTACTCATACCGTTAAATTGCTGTCAGACAAGTAAAACTCGTACCTTTCCAGCTGCCACTATGAAATGGCCATTTCAGTCGTGATAGTTTAAGAGAAACAAAATGCTTTCTTACTCTGGCAGTGCAATGCGGCAGGTCACAGGCCTACACTCACACAAACTTTCGAATCCAAAGTTGTAACCTACAGTTCAATTCTCTTTTTAAAAACATTGCAAAAATATTAGAAGTTTTAATGTTTCCTGCTTGATAAGAGGTCATTTCTTTCTCATAGATAACCTTCTAGTGCATCTAGGTTTTGTCTGGAAGAGCACCCCCACCCTCATTATACATCTTTTCACAGAAAAAAAACAAACTGTGAAGCATTTCTAGCTGTCAAATGAAACAGTGTAAAAATTCTAATTATTCTTGTACAATTGTTCACTCGAGAGAGGAATAACAGAGAGTAAGATCAAAGGTCATAATACCTAGTAACTGACAAAAAACAGTCTGCATTCTGTTGAAACTTGGTGGAAAGTCTAGTATTTTTTTTAATAGCTTCAATGAAGAGCTGTGATTCAGATGTACTAGTGCATGATGGGAAATCAAGCTTTGGCTTTAAGAGTCTATAAGCCAGATATTATGTTGTACTACACTTATTATAACAGGAAATACTTTAATCACAGATAACATTAGATATGTTAAAACATCATCTACGTAACTTATCCATAATAACAATGAGTATACAGTATCTACATTTTGAAGGTCGAGAAGAGATAACCTAACGCTGTCAAAATGTTGCAGCTTACTTTTCAACTATTAAACAGCACCACACAATACAGAAAAAAATACCTACCCACTTTCATAGAGACATCTGATAAGAGTTAAAAAATTCTTTCCAGCATCATTGTACATAAACATTTTCATTCATTTTTATATGGGCACAAACCTTATAATTCACCAGAGACTGAGGATGTAATTGTTCTAGTTCTAGGTTACACCACTAGCAACAGAATGTTATAATCACCACAATTACATCCTCAGTCTTCTAAAACTAATGTATTCTAGTTCTAGGTTACACCACTAGCAACCTGAGGATGTAATTGTGGTGATTATAACATTCTTCTTCTAAAACTAATGTATTCTAGTTCTAGGTTACACCACTAGCAACCTGAGGA